TCGGGAAGGTGAGCATCATAGAATGCCAATTTACTAGGAGAAAGTATTCTTGTGTTGAGGGAGTACTTGGGTGGAGGCCCAGCAATTGTTTCTTTTAAAAGAAAACACAATCCAGCATTAAAAAGAAAGAGAAGAAAGTACTTGTTCCAAAGAACAGTCAACCCAGCCCTCTTTTCTTTTGTTGTTGAGGTCTGCTGTTGTTGTTGTTGCTGCTGTTGTTGCAATTGAGTCAGTGCCAATTAACAGTGACCTTGTGTACAACAGAATGAAATGCCTCCCAGTCCTATGCCATCCTGATCATTGCTATGAGCATGAGCTCTGCAATCTCACTCTTAAAAATCCCTATTGTCTTGGCTTCTGACAAATGTCCACTGATTTCAGTCCATGCATATAGATGCAGTATTAGCCTTACAACAAAGTTTACTAAGGATTTCTTTGGGACCATCCTCTAACCCACATTACTGCCACATTATCCTAACTAAATGTTACTGTCAAAATGGTTTTCTGCTGAACAGTGTACCATGAGTTTATGAAGAGGTTCGCTTTGGGGTTAGATTTCAGGAGGTGGCGGGAACCAGAAAATGAAAGCAATACGTGTATATGTAGTTTGGGGCAGGGTGGCTGAAGAATGAAATGAAAAAGTGACCTAATGTGGGGAGAAATTGAAAGGACAGATTAAAATTTATAATAAAAAAGATAGACATGTGCCTACATATTCAAAAAATGTTCTTTAGATAGCATACCAAACCCACAGCTGATTAACTGGAGGCTCATTTTTGTTTTTCCAGGAGACCAAAATCAACTGTGTCCGTCTGGCTACCAAAGGTATGTGGGCATGTTTTGTCTGTGTTCAACCATGAAATAGTTCTCTCTCTTTAGTTACCCAGGGACAGTATGGGGAACAATGACTAAAACAACATTAAGGAATTGTTATTCTCATTGTATTCCTTTGCATGTAAGCTATAACCTTAGGATGCAGACAAAGAGCACGGTATCTGGTGCATGTAGTGAGAGCTCAAAATACATTTGTTGGATGGGTGGATGGATGGATGGAAAGGAGGACAGAGTAGTGCATTAATCAGTGGAATTGTGAAGAGAAAATTTACTCAAGTAAATTTATATCTTCGCTGCATGTTGGTCTAAATTTTGTGCTTACCTTTCTTCAAAATGCCCATTAGACCCATCTTCTGGGTATTATACGTCATGCTATTGAACGTGGCTCTCAGAAGTGACTCGATGTGCGGCGGTGCCTTTAATAATGAGCAAACAAACGCTGCATTGTTCCGTAGCTGACATTTCGACATGTGTCCCCCAGACGAAGGCTCATCACTGTTACTTTCCTAATTATAATCGAACTGTCTGGCTCTTCCGATTGGTACATGTTTCTGCTTATTACTTGTTAAACAAACAAACAAAATCAATGAATGGTTTGTTATCAATTAACCTATTATAGGGTTGAGTGGTTAGAAAGTAGGTTTATCTTTTTGTTATAAAATTGATACTGTAAATAGCTACTACATATGCACACACCCAAACAGGAGACTCTACCCTGCTGTCTGCGTGGACTGATGGCATACATCTCATCGTGGTTGGTTGCTAAGGTGTTCACAGTGGTAAAGAGAGTAGATATCTACTGGTAGATACAAATTGTAGGCAAAGACAGTTACCTCAGTTTGTATGTTTGTGAATGTGCATACCCTTGAACATACATACAGAGGAAAACACAGACACACACACACCACAGGAGATGGAGAAAGAGAGAGGAGGCACAAGAACTTATTATACACACAGTCAGCACTCTCTTTCAATGGGTCTGCATCCACAAATTCAACCAATCACTAATTGAAACTAATCAGAGAAGTTTAGAGAATCCCTCCAGGGCGAAGGGGAAGTGGAAAGTGTGATTGGCATGCCATTTACATTGTGTTAGGTGATGTAAGTCATCCAGAGGTGATTTAAAGTAGATGGGAGGATATGCCTAGACTGTACGCAAATACCCCTTGATATAAGGGACTTGAGCATCTGTGGATTGGGGTGTCTGCCAGGAGTCCTGGTACCAAGCCCCCATGAGATAGCTGTACCTGTATGCAAGGAAAAGCAGGCCATTGTTGTCATTAGGTGCCATGGAGCGGGCTCTGGCTCATAGCCACCCATGTACACCATAATGAAACCATGCCCGGTCCTGACCAGCCTCACAAGGGTTTTTGTGTTTGGTCCCCAGGAAAAGCATAGAACAACTTGAATACAAGCCTTTAAATGATCAATAATGTAGGTGGTAGGCAGAAACTGAGGGGTGACTGTAACTTTTCTAACGGAAGAAAAGCAACTCAATGTGGAGGTACAAAAGGGAAGGCAGGAGAAGACCGGAACAGCCAGGGCTTGCAGTGACTGAGAACCACCCGGCTTCACATAAGTCACGGGGGGCATGTCCCTAACTTGTTCCCTCTCAGAAACTCAGGCTCCTGGAAGGAAAGAGATAAAATGCTCTTTTCAAGGGAAGAAGGATTGATGGCGGGCAAACAAAAGTGGCACAAATCACAGAACCAGGCAGACTCTTCCGCTGAAGAAAACAGATAAGCTAGAAAGACAAACACCATCAATTGGGTAGTTCCAGGACTGGAGACAACAGGCAGGGCAACTGGATGTCAGCAGCATCCGGCGCACAGAGAGCAGGGAGAAGGAAGAGCACTTGGGGAGTGTAGACATTGTCAGAGGAAGACTCTCCAACATCACAGGGTGCCACGACTCCCTCCACGCATGTACGCATGGTGAGCTCAAGTGCCTGCTCTGCCCTCTGTGGACTATGGGGGGACGCTAAGGATGCCCCTTGGGGCCCTCCTAAAATGTAGTGTGGTGGGTCACATTTTGGGAACTGAGAATTGGAAACAGGTGACCTGACAGGAAATGGGTGCAAATGGGGATAGAGAATATTTAGCACTGTGTTTCCCTGGCATTTCAGGACCCACCGTCCTCATAGGTGTACAGGCTAATTGAGCTGGGTCTCTACAGAGTGCCACCGCTGATCTTCAGAGGAACTGCCGTGGTGCTGAATTCACTGGAGCAGAGAAAGGCTCCATGTGACCTCGGCACAGAGGTCTGCCTTCGTGTCTCCCACCCCGTGGGTTGTAGTCTTCCCTGAGTGCAGCGTGTGCACAAGAAGGCAAGTGAAAGGGCATGGCAAAGATATGGACGAATGCATGGCTCTCCAGCTGGCCACGCCTGCACGAGGGTTGGAGCAACAAGAACATTGATCGTGCCAACCATGTAGACAAGTTTTCTAGTTCAGGAAGGCCAACATTTTGGCCCAGAGACATGAGGTGCCAGTCATATGTGTGAATGGGCAGAGAGCTAATGATACAGAATGCTAAGCTAGCACAGTCCAGGTAGTTAGTCTGTCTCAGTACAGCATCTGTTAAGGAGGATGCTTGATGAATGCCAAAATTGGGTAAAGGGAAAGAAGCTTGCCTTAAACCAATGTCTTCCTTGTGCCAGGCTACCTTGTGCTAGGCCTTGGAGATTAAAGGCAAAGCCTCCCAGAAGTCATATGTTTCCCATAAAGAGGTCCTACCAGCATCTAAAACCAGGAAACAATATTTTATCCCCTCTCCTCCATTTCTGACTACCTGGACCAAATTTCTCCCTTTGAGGCTCTGATGGAAATTGTATTCGTTTTATCCAGGGGAGACTACAAATGGAAGCCCCAGGCCCTAGGAAGATACAAACTTCCCCTTCGTTTCTCTCTAAGTTCTTCTGCCCCTTTGCCATCATGGTGCCTTCTCCATGGAGCTCCTATCTGACATCTGCCCTTGAAGTGAAATCACTTGAGTAGACTCCAACCCACGACACCGGAAGTGAAGCAGTTGGCCCATGTCTTGTTGCTGGAGACCCCAGTCTCTATGGTCAACTGTGTGTCAGCCAGTTGCCATTTAGAATGGCCACTAAGCATGCATTCAAGCTCGTTCCGACTTGACCCCAAGCCAAGCACATCTTCTATTAGACACCACTCTTGAACCTTTTAACACTTGCCCTTCTGCAAGGTCTCTGTTAGTCTCCCAGATTCTAATTTAGTGGTGCTCAGTTTTGAGAGCTAGAAAGCAGAAGTCATACCGTTGCCATGGTAGTGGAGCAATGGCTGCTCATCCAATCATGCTCCTGTGTCCTCTGGAAAGAGCACTGACGAAAGAACCACTCTGTCTTAAAACTAGTTGCTGTCCACTTGACCCTAGCTCTCAGTGACCCATGCTGGACTCTATAGAGATTTTAGTGGCTGTTTTTCCAGAATTAGATCATTGGGTCGTTCTGTCAAGGCGCCTCTGCGTAGACCCAAACTTCTAGCCTCTCAGTTAGCAGACTGGCATGTTAGCCCTTTGCACCACCTGGGCACTCCCTACTTTGACTTAATGAGCCATCAACTGATCAATCAAATGTTAGTACGCTAGGGAATTTCCGACACAAAGTTGACATTCGGTATTTGCTGGTGAGTAAATCTCTTTGGCAATAGCATCTCACTGTTGTGCAGGTCTCACTTAGGTTTTCTGAACCTCAGCCGCACGCTAAAGTGATCTCATCTACTCATTCTTAAAAAAATATTTCTAAGCACCCTTAAGACAGTGATCTTCTGATAAACCCCTCTTTAAGAATCTGGTGCCAGGTTCTAGCCAAGTCCCTTAACTCACTGCATGTCCCAGTTCTCACTGCCTCAGTCCATGTACCCATTGGTCCTCTTTGCTGCTCTTTCTGCGCACAGGCCCCACCAGTCTGGCCTTCATCCTTAGGCTCAGCTATGTTTCTTCTATCTTCACATTCACTATACTCCCACACTGAGTATTTTTGTAATTCTTCAAACATATCAAGTTCCTTCCAACCTCAGGACCTTTGCACAACTTATATCCCCCCCCCCCTATTAGGAATGCTCTGTTTCCATATGTGTCTGCTTAACAGATATGCAGAATACACCCTAAATCTCACCTCCTCTGAAGGACCTTTCTTGACCTCTAATTAAGGGACAGCTGTAGCCCTTTTTGTCATACCCTATAGTTTTCTTTCATAATGTTCTTAGCAACTGACAGCTGTATACTTTTTATCATTGTTTCTGTGTTCAGGGCTTCACTCTTTGCTAGCTACTAAATGATGTAAGGCACCATGTACCTCCAGATTCTCACATGCACTGGATCCAATAAAGTTGAATGGACACATGGAGGGAGGGATGGACAGATGGCTAACAAGTCATTCTTCCATGGCCTCATTTCTTTTTTCAAATGTAAGGTACAAGTGCATGTCAAAGCTGTTCTCACAGAAGGTAGAAGAGTGATCTACAAATCCCAATATTGGGAAGGCCAGCCAGGTCCTGCTCAGACACTGCTGTGAAAGAGATCTCCACGCTTCCCAGGAGTTCCTTCCACCTTTGGACATTGTGATTGGTGAGAGCTCCAGGGTCTTGAGTCTCCACGGACTCCCTACCAGTTCTGCCCATCAACTCTTGACGCCACACGCATCGTGTCTGCATTGTCACCTTTCAGAAAACAAAACTTGCTTCCTCTGGCCACCTCCTGTCCCCAGTTAGGGCCAAGTAGGTACCTACTTGTCTCCTTTCTTCCTATTGGGACTGCTCTGCTCAACAACAGGCAGTGGTATTCCCATCTCTGACGCCAGCCGCCAAGGGAACACAGCTGGCGCTGCTGCAGACTCCCGCTGGGTGCACCCGGAGTGGCAGTTAGAAAAATCAGCCTTGATTTGATTTGCAAACTGATCTGAGTCATTGAGACAAAATAAATTCGAAAACCCATAAAGCCATTTACAGAGTTGCTTTGTAGAAGACAGCCACC